CGACGGTCGCCCACCGCGCGGGGGACGCGGACGCTACCCACTCACCAGGCGAACTGTCGAGGAGAAGCCTGCGAGGAGAGGAGGGGGAACGGCTCTGCCGGGAACGGGGAGGGACCTTCGGGAAAGCGAAACTGAAACTTTGCAGCCCCGGAAGGCGGGGCGGGACGCATCCCTGCCTCAGTCCAGGCCCAGCCACGGCCGGAGCCGCCACGGCAGCCCCATGTCCGAAGCCATGGCCTCGGCGCCCTGCCCGCCGTCCCCGCTGCTCATTCGGGTGTCCGAGCCCGGCCCCCCGACGAACATACGTCGGAAGCTGGAAAGCTACTTCCAGAGCCGGCCGTCGGGCGGCGGGGAGTGCACCGTCCGACACCTGGGCCCCGGCACCCCCCACACCTACCAGGTGGAGTTCTTGGAAAGGGCAGGTGAGCCCCAGGCCTGGGACTGGGGGCGCAAAGGTCGTCCCTGGGGCCCAGCCCCGCGGGATTGCGGGCAGGCCCAGCGGGCCGACCCAGGGGAGAGGGTGGGGGAAGGTGTGGCGCGTCTGGTGCGGCCGCAGCAACCGGGGGCTCTTGCTGCCAAGAAACGCCGCCCCCGGTGGAGGATCGAGCCCAACGCGTCCGGTTGGTGACCTGGCCTGACGGGGCCACCTTCCAGCAGGCCGGTCCTGACTCGTCTTTCTCAGCTCCCCGAAGAACACCTTTTCCTCCCCCCCACGCCTGTCACCCTTTGCCATTTAGGTATTGCATTTTTATGTTTTAAACAACTGTTCCATTGATTTATTTTTGAGGATTACAAAAGTAATATATGCACACTATAGAAAAGAGAGAGAAAAGAATGAAGAAGAACACCAGTCTGGTTCTTCCAGCCTTTTTCTATGAATGTCAGTAAACACATACGGATAATTACAAAATTCTGAGTCTGCACTGTTGACTCCCTGTTTTTTAATCTACTTTATATGAGTATTATTCCATATGACTGAAAAGGGAAACCGAGAGAGTTTCAGAGACGACTTTTCATGAGTTGTTGATGTTTCATTATTATTGAGCTTTCATTTGTACAGTAAAACTGAAGCTGCCCACCTGTGAGTTTTGAATAGCTCCCTCACATCCCTATCGCAACAGGCCATCCCAGCATGCAGGGAGCCCGTACTGTGGGGTGCTTGGGCAGGGTGCAGATGCCTGAATAACATGATTATTTGAAATCACTCCCATGTCTGTGTGTATGTGTGTGTTTAATGTCTCCACTGAAGCTAAGGAGCGAGTGTTGAAAAAAGAAAAGCACCAAATTACAGTTGACGACAAACTTGTGACTATTTTCCTGGAACCCTCTGAAAATCCAATAGAGGAGAATGGAATGTCTCAAGTGCAAACACCATCACAGGAAGGGGCTAGGTCTGGTGAGAAGCATCCAAATGAAGAACATATTCCTAATGCTGTGGATTCCCGTGTCCAAAAGGTGAGTATTGAAAGAAGCAGCTGGGTATGTACTTGCAACTTTCTCTCCAGTCACCTTGCTTTCATTATTGGTCCAACAACCATTGGCTGAGCCAGGCACTGTTTTAGGCACTGGGGCACAGAGGATAACAGGTCCCTGCTGGGGGTGGGGAGCTACATAGAAGGACAATAAAACAATTTTAGAGAGTGCTGTGTGCCTTAGACAGTGACTGGGCCAGAGCAAGGAAGGAAAGGAGATCATGCTACTTGTGACCAGGAGTCAGAGACAAATTCTCTGAGGTGACATTGGGCCTGAGACTTGAATGAGAAGGAATCAGCCATGCAGAGTCATTTGACAAATCAATGTGACAGTGTGTGCCAGGCACTGTCACAGGAGCTGGGGTTATAGCCAGGAACACAGCAGACCCTGCCCTCAGGTACCTTATGTTCTAGTGAAGGAAAAAGACACTAATAGTAAACAAATAGATTTATAATAAAATGTCTGCCAGTGACAAGTGCTAGGAAGAAGAATACAGCAAGATAAATGACAGAGGGAAGCACAAGAGCAAAGACCTCAAGACAGGAGCTTACATCTTGAGCTCCAGGAGCTTCAAGGAGGGAGGCCAGTGTGGCTAGGGCAGTGAGCAAGGGAGAGAGTGTTATAAGAGGAACTTTGAGAGGTCAGATTTTGGGGGATGAAGGTAAGGATTTTGGATTTTCACTTAAATGTTAGGGGATTCATCAGATAGTTTTGAGCCAGAGGAGTGGAATACTTTGATTTGGGTCTCTAAAGGATCACTTCGGCTGCTCTGTGGATAACTGATTGTAGGAAGGGGTTAGAGTGGAAGGTCAGGGTCCAATTAGGAGGATTTGCAGTGGGCCAGGTGCAAGACAATAATGGCTTGGACTCTGGGTGGTCCCGATGGAGGTGTGTGAAGTGGCTGGATTCAGGAAACATTTTGAAGGAAGATCTAGAATGAGGATGTTACATGCAGAGGAAATAGCATGTGCAAAGGCCTTGAGGGGGAACAAAACATTAGAAATCTTGTTTTTTTTATTCCATTCAATTTGCCTGTCTTTTTTTTTAGCCTAATTTGTTGTGCTTGCCTTATACTTGAGCATCTAAAGGCTAGGGTTTAGAGAGTCCAGCAACACTTCATCCACTTAGGTGTTTAGTAAAATAAATAAATAAATAAATAAATAAGAGGTGGTTGAAGACTAGAAAAAAAGTAATAGGAAAAAAACCGTATTTCTCAAATTTATGACTCCCTTCCAGGCTCTCAGACTTTTGTGAGAACAACAGCAGCTTGCGTGGAAAGACAAAATGCCTTCCCTCCACCCCATTCCCCAAGGTCAAACAGATAGTGGCAGCTCTAGAATCCAAACTGCTTGTCCACAGAGCCTTTAAAAGTGTTCATGCCCAGGCTCTACATTTACATCAGAATCTCTGGCGACGTGTCTGGGCGTTGGCCTTTTTTTTTTTTTCCCCTTTTAACTTCCCAGGTGATTCTGATGTGCAGACAGGGTGGAGAACCTCTGGGTGACAGTGTGCTATGTCCTCTGTGAAAAGGATTTGGAAGAAGTCACCCTCTGCTAAGTTGTTGTTTCTCCTGAGAGGAGACTGTGGGCTTGGGTGTCTGAGAGACTTCATTTGTTCCTTTTAAATTTCAGATCTTCCTCAGTGTCACAGCTGACCTGAACTGTAACCTGTTCTCTAAAGAGCAGAGGGAATATATAACCACTCTCTGTCCCAATGTCAAAAAAATGGAGGGCTATGATGGAATTGAGAAGGTGTGTGGTGACTTCAGAGATATTGAAAAAATACATGGCTTCTTCAGTGAGCAACTCCTAAAAAGTGAGCAGAAACGCGAATCATCCCGTTTGACAACAGAGAGGGAGCCACCCCATCAGTTGGACCAGAACAGCTACGGTTCTCTCTCTGAACCAAAAACGAAGTCAGAAGGAAAAGGCAACAGTTGTGAAATTCCCCTGCCTTTCTTCGAATACTTCAAATATACCAATCCTGAAAAAATGGAGTCAATAGAGAAAAGATTTGGTGTAAAAATAAAAAGCTGGGAGAGTTCTCTGAACACGATCTCTTTAGAATTCACCTCAAGTCAATCACATGACCTCAGAGTAGCAGCTCAAGACTGTTTTATCAGTGAATTTCAGAAAATCATGGGAACTGCAAGGCAGGAAAGTGTTGCATTATCAGACAGTAAGCAGGCAAATAAAATCAAACAGGAATTGAGTCACCAGTTTGAAAAGCTTTTTATAAAGGAGAATGGAGCAGAATTAACTCTCCTTGGGACAGAAAATGACATTTCAGGTGCCAAACATTTTCTTGCCCTCCGAATCTCTGAAAGTCTTGTCAAGGCACCTGTGAAAATATTGACTCCCAGGTGCATGATGAATGGAATTGAGGTTGACATAGCTCACTATAAGCTTTTAGAAGCTGAATTACTCCAGGAGATATCAGAGATAGAAAAAAAGTACAACACTCAATATAAGGTTTTGGGGAAAAGTCAGAAAACCTACATTATATTTGAACCTAAGGACAAGGAGTTAGATTTGTCTATGCATGCTTATGCAAGTTTCATCGATGCCTATCAACATATTTCTTGTCAGCTGATTAGAGAAGTTCTTTCACTGAAACCTCTGGGCAAGGAGAGAAAGAACTTGTTTGGGACCAAGTTCACTGTTGACTTTAGAAAAAAGCATCCAGGGGTACACTTGTTGCTAAATAAAGAATCAATAACTTTTATTGGGCTGCCAAATCACCTTGTAAAGGCAAAGCAGTATGTCTTAAACACAGGGGGAATACCCCTGTTAGCTGGAGAGAAGTCAAATGGGGATCATGAAACACCCATGGACGTTGATAGTAATGATTCAGAAACAGCTTTACCAACATCCCAGCACTCTGCCAGTTCTAGGGCGTCAGGAGTAGACAAGGAAGAAGATCCATGTCCCATCTGTATGGAGCCCATTAAGAACAAGAAAGTGCTATCAAAGTGCAAGCACGAATTCTGCACCCGTTGTATCGACCAAGCCATGGTGTATAAGCCAGTCTGTCCTCTGTGCCAGGTTCCCTATGGTGTCCAGAAAGGAAATCAGCCAGAGGGAACCATGAAGACCCGTTACCTAAAAACTTCACTTCCAGGTTATGAAAGCTGTGGCTCCATCGAGATTATTTATGAGATGAAGGGAGGCATACAAACAGTAAGTGTTTCTGAGATCTCTGGGTTTCTTTCTAATGTGCTAGGATTACCAGCACACAAGAGACTGTGCTGTTACCAATTAGTGGATTTTGCAGGGACTTATTTCCATGGTCATAGGCAATCGCTTTAAGTAGTTATGAAAGTAACAGTGTTTGCTTATAACTTATCTCTTGTGTCTATTAAGGGAGAGAAGGGGTGGGTGATGATTATGTGTCAAGGTGGGGGGAGTCAGGAAGATGGATGATATTCCCAGCATGAATTTAGGGAAAGAGGAGAAATATGAACTAATGGGAATATGAGCAAACCTTTAATACTTTTTTTTGCTTTTGATTTGCTCTATCTGCATAGTATAGTAAAATTTAGACTCGGAGTGTTTTCACGTGACATTGTTTTGTTTTCACACAGAAAGAGCACCCAAACCCAGGATTTCCATATTCTGGAACACTGCGAACTGCATACTTGCCTGCTAACAAGGAAGGAAAAGAGGTTTTGGCACTGCTTTGTAAGGCCTTTGAGCAAAAGCTAATTTTCACAGTGGGGACTTCTCGAGCTTCAGGAATGTCAAATGTCATTACATGGAATGATATCCACCACAAAACGTCCCAGTATGGCGGACCAGCAAAGTGAGAACCTTTTGAAATATAATACTTGCTAAACAGAATTTAGAGGTTGTAAACTATGGCAATTTGAGGATACGGCTATCAGGGACTCTTTTTCGCAGTGGGATTAGATATAGTACAGTATTTTGAGAGATGTTAATCTCAAAGGCAAAAAGATTGGTTCCCATCACCTTCTACTCTCCCAACCAGAAAGCATCACACGGTTACTAAATTTTTCATCAAAAGGCAGGGGTCTTCAGAATCCAGGATCAGTGATATCTCAGATGATTTGATTTGAGGTTTCCTGTTTATTTGAAGGGTAGATCCTAAGAATGTTACTTACTTTGCCTTCTTTTAAGAGCATCCTTTCTTCTACCCTCTCCTCCATCATTCTGTAGAGATCCTTAATTCACTTGGCTAATAGTACTTTAGAAAAACTCTTATTTAATGTTGTGGAAGTTGTGTTGTAGGCAACCCAATTGTTCCTAGTGAAATTCAGATAGAATACCTCAGACCCTTAGAATTCAAAAGGGCCCTGAGACTTTTGCAAATTTTCCAAATTTGAAAATCCTCTTGTAGCATATACTACATTTTTATATATAAAATATAAATATACATACTATATTATATTTTTATATATAACATGTTTTTATATATATTTTATAGTATAGTATAAATTTATAGTATAGTATAATTTCTTGAGAGTCACTGCTTACCATGAGCTGAAAATAAAAATATCTTGTTGGAAGGCAGATCCTAGACACACAGTTAGGCTTACTCACTAGCTAAATGACTCACATCTGCACACTTACAAATAATTATAAATCATCTGCCGCCAGGATTGCTTGTTAATGTTTGCAACACAATGTTAATGCCAGTTACCTGCTTAACAGATTCTTTAAAATCATGTGTGATAAAGCTAAAGGGCTTTTACTTCTGCAGGTTTGGCTACCCTGATGCTAATTATCTGACACGCGTCAAGCTGGAGCTGAAAGATAAAGGAATTGAGTAAGAAGACTGCTGGCAGGATATCTTGAGCCAAGCTTTCAAAAGACACGGTTGAAGAAGCAGAGTAAATACCAATCTAAATCCTAATGTAGAAACACCTTTTTAAAATGCTCATCTCAAGGGGATTCATGTAAGAGCAAGAATCTGATAGTCTGTCATTTCTGGAGTCTTACTTTTTATGAAAGATAAAAGCCCCAAAGACCTGTGTGATTTTTTGCTGCAGAGGTGTTGTGCCTCATTCTTGTGTCATTGTTGGGGAGAGAGGGGAATGGAGTGCTGTGGGTCTGAAATCATCTTCTGTGCTCTTCATTTGAAATACCAGCTGCCAATTGGTCCTCTTTTTATTACCATCTCTGGGGTGGTCCTTTAGTTTTTTTGTTTGCTGGTTGGTTGGTTTGCCCTTTAAGTACCCTAAAGGTAAAATCCTAGTGTGAATGGGGGAGGGGGGTATGGGGGAACGCTTTGGCTATGGTAAATTATTAAAAGACACATGTTCCCCTCCCTCAAGGCCAGAAAAGTTGCCAGGAGCAAAGATTGTGCAACCTTGGGTAATAAATAGCATAAGGCTATTATTTGTCATGACTCAGAGCCTGGTATATACAGTTGGTGCTTAATAAGTTTTTGCTGCCTGACTCGGGGTTAATACCCCAGCAGAGGGATATGTGCTCCCTAAATCTTTAGCAGAGGCAGGAATAAGGAATCCATTTCTGGAATCCTCACCCTGATTTGAAAAACTGAGTTTCTTATCTGGTCATCCACATCCCAGCTTCTCTCCGAAAAGGATGAACAGGATGTCTTTTTCTTTCCCTACGGATACACATATACACACACATATATTTTTGGTTAGAGGGTAATAGTCAGTATTTATTGTGGACTTATTTTATCCCCTTTATAAGATCTTTATATCTGTGTGATTGATACTATTAGTACCCTCATTTTATAACTGAGAAAACTAATGTACAGAAAGGGTACCTTGACAAAGGTCACATAGTTAATTAGTAGAAGTGCTGGGATTTGAAGGAGATAGTCTGTCCCCACAGCTTCTGCACCCCAGAGCTATACTGCCTCCCACAGGGGGACTTCTCCTCCATGGAGCTGGCTGGGGAGTGCCTATTATTCCGGGCCTCTCTCAGAAATGCATTTCTACACAGTGCTCACAGCAAATTTCCCCTGAAGAAGTCCTATTTGAAGAATCCAGAATCTCTTCCTTTGTCCAGAGAGTTGAGGAAGCTTAAACTAAATGGTAGCCTTTTTTTTTTTTTTTTGGTTAATCAGATGATACATTTAATTTTTGGTGATTCAGTAAAGTCTTCACTGTTACGAGTAGTTGTTTTGTATCTACTCACCTTTTAGCTAGCTTGCTTCAAAAAACCAAAAGTTTGGTTCCTGCTTAGGTCTAGATGCTTGATTGCAGTGTAGTGTGTGCACAGGCAGTTTAATGGTGCGAGTGGTTGGTGAGCCTTTGGATTGCTGCTTTTGCTCTGTGGGAGGTATTATCATCTGTATCTGCTTTAAATAAAGTTACACATTAGGAACAGATTGTCTGTGCTCTTTCCCCACTCCTTTTTTCTTAGGTTGAGATTCTGGTGGTTTCCTACAACACATACAGTGTATAACAAACTACATTCGACTTCATTGCTGTCACTTTCAGCTGTGAAAATCACATTTCTTAATATTTTCCCCCCTTAACACACAGAGTACTACAAAGGTAAGAGTAGGCTGCAGGTTTCATCTCTTCCTTCCTTTCCATGACCTGCTCCTTGGATTTAACTAATTTGCTAGAGCAACTCCCAGAACTCAGGAAACGAGTTTACTCATTCGATTATCTGTGTATTACAAAAGGATATAACTCAGAAATGACAGACCAGATGGAGGAGATGCCCAGGGCAAAGTATGTGGAAAAGAGCATGGAACATCCATGCCCTCTGAGCATCCCATTCTGCCAGCACCTTCACTTGATCACCAACCCAGAAGCTCTCTGAACCCTGTCCTTTTGGGATTTTTTGGAAGCTTCATTACATAGTCATGATGAGTAAATCATCGGCCATTGGTAATTTAACTTAATTTCTAGCCCCTCTTTCCTCCCCAGAGGTCAGGGGGTGGGACTGAAAGTTCCAACCCTCTAATCATGTGGTTGGTTCCTTTGGCAGCCAGGCCCCATTTTTAGTCACCTCATTATAAATCACTCCATTAACATAAAAGACATCTTTATGGGCTCTCAGCTTTTAGGAAATTCCAAGGGTCTTAGGAGGTCTGTGCCACAAACTGGGACAAAGGCCAAATACATATTTCCTATTATAAATCACAATATCACAGATAGCATCAAAGCAGACTTTTGGAGAAAAATCAAACCTTTGTGGTATTTCCTTACATTTATCGTACTGTGTAGTACTGGTTTTGCTTTGATTTCCATATGGGAGTTGGGTACTATTTTCTATTGATTGGGTTCTGAGTCCTCTAAAACAGAGCCTTAGGCAAAAATCAAGATGCTGCCAACTTATTTGGGAGGTGCAGGCCCAGGACAGTGAAGGTAAGGACAAGCAAAAAGAGAAGTGAGGCCACCTAAGACGTGATACAATGCAATGCCCAGCCACTGCTTCATAAAGCTGTGAAAAGACAGCAGGTCACTCCGCAGCTTTATTTGCTTGGCACAGGAGTTGAAAAGGACTGCAAAAATTATGTTGAAATGTCTTATTTTATAGAGTAGGAAACTTAGTTTTATTTCCTGGGAAAACAACAATGTAAAATATAGTAATAGTATACATTAAAATGTAGTCTTGGTGGCACCTTTGGCTTCTCCCTCTTGTCCCGCATGTTCATCATCATCAGCCCTGTCTCCACTTCAAATCTTGCTTCCCAGCTGGTATTTTCATAGTTCTCTCACCACTAAAAACTCTCTCTGTCCCCATCTCTCTTCTTCCTCCCACTGAAAACTATCTTTTGAAAAAAATAGCTCTGATCTCATCACTCCTCTGATGATAAGCCATTAGTGATTCCCTGATGCCCAGAGCAGTGCTTGTCAAACTTGATCTTGTGTCAGAATCATTGGCGGGCTCAATAAAGTGCAGATTGCTAAGACCCTCCCCCAGAATTTCTGACCCAGTAGGTGTGAAGTCGGGCTCACGGATTTGCATTTCTAACAAGTTCCCATTGCTGCTGCTGCTGATGATGATGATCTTCAGACCACATTTTGAGGACCACTGGCCTAGAAAATAAAGTCAAACTCCCCAGCATGTCCATCAGGGGTTTCTCATGTCCTTACCTCGTGTCCTTCCCTCCTTACCAAAACCCCATGGTTTAGTCACACCACACCACCAGCTTTTCCAAACCTTTAGTCCATACATTTATTATTATGGCCTTTGCTCTATGTGTCCTCCCTCTGGGATGCCTCTCCACCTCATTCATCTCTTAGAACTCTCCTATTCATCATTCAAGGTCTCAAATGTCACTACTAGATGAACTTTCATTCAGTCTTGCCTCTAAATTATGAATCATGTATTTCCCTGTGTTCCTTAATAATTTATACCTATCTCTATTAACGCTGTGGACCTTGAGAAAGAAGATACTTAGTAAAAAGGGCTTCTAGTGGTTAACTGGGCTCAAATTAAAAACAAAAACATCCCAGCACCCATTTCTACCCAGGAACCTCTCATGTAAACTGCACTTCAGGGAAAAACCTGCACTGAACTACCTGTGTCTGCACTGCCTGCCTGTATTGTTTCTGCCATCTCGGCCAGCCCTTATAAAGAAGTTCCTGGAATCCTATTTCAAACAATAGGACTGAGGCTTTTTCCATCTAACCAGAGCTGTGCAGCTATGTCCCCATCAGCTTCTTCATCAACTAATCAGAATGGCCCTGACCAACCAGGACAATGCCTCACAATCAAACTGGATTTGGAGTCCTCATTTGCATGAAGACAGACCAATCAGGGGCCAGGGGCAGGGACTTCTGTCTATATAAGTCAGTTTTCCTCTGGCCCTGAGAGTGCGCTTTCCCTTTCCACCAAAAACTGTTTCTGATGAATGTCAGAGGGATGGAGGAGGGTGGGTGGGTGGAGGGGGAGAGAGTAACCAAAGAATTTATGTGCATATATACACAACCCAAGGACATGGACAGTGGTAGGGAGAGGGACTGTGGAGGGGGAAGGAACAGGGTGGAACGGGTCATTGGGGAGAAAAAGGGACATCTGTAATATTTTAAACAATAATAAAATTTTTAAAAATAAATTAAAAAAGCATACAAAAAAACTGTTTCCCTGTTGGGGTTGAAATGCAGATGTCTCACTAGAACAGAGCAGAGCAGAGCAGCACAGGCCAGAACAGGTAGACTGGTGCAGAACAAAGCAGATCAGAGAGGAGTAGAGCAGAGCTGTCTAGCCTGAGAGGGGTCTGACCCCAGGGCCACCTCAGCCCTGCTGTATCACAATTGAGCTGTTTTGCACTGAATAGTTTCTTTCTTCACCACACCCCAAATCGGAGATTCCCATTGAATCGGCACCAGCAACCATCAGTGATGCCAGAATCCATTTACCCAGCTTTCTGCCTTGGCGTGGTGCTGGGCACTGACCTCTAAGTACTGCAGCAACCCCATTCTCATGCCCTCTGATTACTGGCTGGGTTCAGCAAAGGGAGGTACCAGCAAGAGATTGGAGGTTCAGCAGAGAGAGTGGTCGGGGGACTCACTCCCCTTGCTGTCTTGCCAAATCAGCCATGGTTCTCTTGCAGTGGCTTTCTCCTATAGGTATGGCTCTTACCAGGCTCAGTACATGCCCCCTCCTTGCCCCTTCAGCCTAGATATTAAGGAGAAGGCAATGGTGTTTCACCATTTCTCACTGGTTTCTCTTTACTCTTTGCCCACACCTATCTAATCCCTTTATTAAACTCTCCTCAATTACCTATTTTGAGTGTACCATAATACACCAGGATACACCAGGTGTGATATACCAGATAAATGTGTATTAGGGTGCTTTTTTGCTTCCTTCTCTTTACTCCCATGCTCACCCCAGAGAGAAGGGGTCTGTGTTCAATTGCTCTTTATAATCTTAACACAATGCCAGGCATATCAAGGGTTTTCAATACATGTTGGTTGAATTAAATAATGTCTTGTCAGGCTAGACCTGATTCCAGGAAACACCAGGCAGTGAGCAGCCACCACCACCCGTCTTAGTGGGCATGAAAAGGACCCAGTATATTTTTCTGAAGATGAGTAGGTAGGGAAAGAGGGGTGGGTTAGGAATGGGATGCCCAGGAGAAAGGGGAACTAATACAGATTTTTTTTGTTTGTTTAACTAGACAATAGGATTTATTGAGGTGCATGCATAGTGCTCGAGGTCCAGATCTCTCCAACTTTCCTCTGGTTTCTCTCAGACCTTCACATTCTAAGTGGTCAATGTCCTGCCTCATTCCCGACGAACAGTGAGGCACTGATGTCCTAGAGCCAAAAAACAGGACAAGAAAGGGGTTCCAGGTGGCCCAAGTTTCAGCCACCTGATCTCCATTCAGTTCCTTCCTCCCCCAGAGGACCTGGCACCTGCCCCTGACAAAGCAAAAAATAGTATTAAAGAAAAATAATTTCTACAAAATGGCTCATACAAACACCTGTGGGTGGTGGAAGAGATGCCTCTGTGAGACACAGATGACTGAAAGGGGCAAGAATGGGGAAAGATACCACCACCTCTCCTAGTCTCTAAAACATAGCCTCCAGCTGCCCGAGGACTAGAAGAGGGCTGGGGCAGGCAGGGGAGGGGCAGAGCAGGGCCAAGGGACCCTTATGGGGCCGGACTGGTGAGCAGGGTGGTGAATTGCAGGGCCTGCCCTTCCAGCTGTGTTGCACACTGCACCATCTCTTGGGCTGCAGAACGGGATGGGTAGCCCAAGGCAGCTCCCTTGCCAGGGAGCACAGTAGCCCACAATGCCTGGCCCAGTGCTGTACCTGCAGCCCTGACCTGTGCTTAGAGAAGGGGGGAGGCTGCCGGCTGGTCCAGGGTGGCCCCAATAAACACCAGGCAGTGAGCAGCTACCATCACCTGCTTACCATGGGGCACAAAGAGGCATGGGGGTTGTTTGACCCATGGTGGCTGGACATCAGGGCCACCACAGCTGCCTGCAGTGCTGAGTGGTGGCTCTGGCACTGCCCTGTATAGAAGTGCAGGAGCTGTTGATCTCAGCTGGGCAAACCAGTGGCTCCCCGGGGGACAGGACCTCCTGCTGCTCCGGTGGCCCCCACTCCAGCAGTTCAGGATCCCCTGGAAAAGCCTTATCAAGGGTCCGAGATCCCTGAGAATACTGATTTTTAAAAAATGTGCTAGACACTCTACAGACTTTATCTCATTGAATCCTCACAATAATATCATGAAGTAGTTATGGCTATGCCCATTGTACAGATGCCATTGACTGCTGTTACTTGACTGAGAAACTATAGAGCCCAAGACTTAGATCCAAAATTTGATTGACAGCAATATTTGTTTCAAAAGGGTGACATAAATTCGAGGCAGCTGCTGTTTGTTAGCCAAGACTGCAACCTAAAGCAGAAGCAGTTT